GGGCCAAAACACAACTCTTTCAATTTGAAGCGACGCGAGAATGTCAGGTTTTAAAGACTTGCGCAAAAACTTGCATTAGACTGCAGTTGGAATCACGTCTGTATTATTTTGCAAGCTTATTATTTATCGTAACATAAATATTTAATACTTCAACGCCATAAATGTAGCAACAGCATCAGTTCAAGCGCTAATTTGGTATAAACTGATATGTTGCAGCTGTTCGCCTTTATTTGCTGCACTGTTACTGGCTGGTTTGCTACACAAGCATTTGTAGCTCACCTAACAAAAACACTCCTGTTTTTTTTTTATTGTTATTTATTCCAAAATATATGCAAAATATCATCTCATTTTTGTTTTTGTTTGTTTGTTTACTCTCTATTATTACCAAGCAGCAACCTCCAGAGCTGGAAAATGAAGCCAGTCCATCAGTATTACGAGCTGTGGTCTGAGGAGCTTGGAAGACTGAAGAAGCTTCCTGGAGGTAAAACATCTTCAGGAAACTTAAAGAAGTCCAAGCTCCTCAGACTACCGTGACCTGTATGACTGAGAACCTACACAGACATTAAGTTTCTGTCAGTATCCAGACTCGCAGGTTAAACTGTCCACATGCACAGCAGAAATAAATACGTTTACAGCCTCCTACACAAAGACAGTTTCTGTTTTCTATACAGGCGACTTCTCTGGCCCCCACACAGACCGACCTACCTGCTAGCTGTCTGCAAGGCTCCCCTCACCTGGAGCGGTCATGTTCAATGAATTGAAGCCGGACCTCTCGATGGAGGTTGCGGTGCCCATATCTAGACGTTTATTTGCTGTCCATGTTACAAAAGTCTTCAGAGACTCGGGGGGGACGCTCTAGTTTCGTTAACACCTCTACACGTTTTTTTAATAATAAATTGTCAAACACAAGAGTTGATTGTTTCAATATGACACTGATTCCAAGGGCCTAAATATTACATTTCGCTACAATAACAATAACGATTAAATATCGAAATAATTTGCTACAAAATAATAAATAATGCAGCTTCTGTCAATTCAAAGGGTTTACGTGTGAGGACGTCATAAAAATCACATTAAAAGGATTTAAACAGCCACAGATGAACAACCACACAGAGACATTACATCGTGTCATTATTTGACTAAATCTAAGCCAAAAAGCAGAAGCAGTGTGTGAAATCCTAAAGACACGCCCGGATTCAGAACCACCTTCATGTCCCACCGCAACACCTCCGTCCGGTTGAGGTCTGGACTTTGATTGAATCTCCTTTCTGTGGCTGTAAAACAAGACCAAATCGTTACGCCTCCACCACCCTGCTGACAGCAGACACGAGGAGCTGCGTTTAGCCTCCAAACCTGCGGCTCTGTGTTGTGGACAGACGTCTCCGCTTTGCTCTCATGATTTGTTCCAGAAGTCTCGTTTTCAGCTTTGCGAACCGAAGACGTGCAGCAATCTTCTTTTCTCCTGGAAACCAAAACCAGCCATGCTTCTCCAGTCTGTTTGTAATTGTGCTGTCGTGACCTTTAACCTTTAACTGATGCATGGAGTTCCTGGATGCTTTGCAGTTTGCAGCCTGGTCTCGGGGTGATTTCCTGGGACGTCCTGCTGCCTCGAATGCTTCCACTTGTGAATAATCGTTCTCACTGCAGAACTTCAAATTGTTTGTAGACTTGCACAAAGGTTACAACAACTACGACACATAAGAAGTAAAAACAAACACAATATTCCACACAGACAAGTGAGCAACAGCAGATCATTAAGAGCTACATTAAAAACAGTCACGTTTCAGCTCTTTCTGTAGATTATTCCAGATTAAACGGGAATAATGCCTTTTTTCTCCGCTCTGTCCTGATTCTCAGGACACAGTATGACGCTGTGAGAGCGAACGCTCTATTGGTTGTGGCTTTTACACATATAAACACACAAATAAGAGGAAACCAGCACAGGCAGAGTCTGACCTCACAACCCAGGTCCCTGCTGATGTCTT